GCTCAAGAAAATAAAAATGGTTATTGCCACATTCCAGATCTAAACAAGCTGATGGCTCCCTCAACTATCACCTGAAAAAAGTAACACTTCTGAGCTGCTGCTTCAAATGATCTGCAGGTCTTGCAGCCTGAGGACAACGGGATCATCTCTTCTCAAACTCTGCCATGAGCTTAGCCAGGAACCTGCAGGGAGAAGTGACACAGCCACCACCAGTGACACACAGGGCACTCCAGAGGGTCCCCGGCAGGCAGACAGTAATGATGGAACCAAGGCACATCATTCTTTTTCCTTCAGGGCATGGCACTTCAGCTTCCTTGGTTCAGGAAGCATTAGGGAATACCACAAACGTTGCTGCAGAAAATGGGTCATTGGGAGAGCAAGCCACTTCCACAAGGAAAAAAAGAGGGCTGAGCTAATGCATGAGCTTCAGATTCACTGTAAACACCTTGCACCATCCCAGGCTGCTCCAAGCCCCATCCAGCCTGGCCTTGGGCACTGCCAGGGATCCAGGAGCAGCCCCAGCTGCTCTGGGCACCCTGTGCCAGGGCCTGCCCTCCCTGCCAGGGAACAATTCCTTCCCAATATCCCATCCATCCCTGCCCTCTGGCAGTGGGAAGCCATTAAATGGTCTGTTGTTCCACATGGACAAACACATAGTTTAACTATCTTTTATTAGCTCTAGTTATATTTTTGTTGGTGCTTTTTCTATACCTCTCAATGTTCAAACACATTTTTAGTTACCACTTCAGTGTTTTTTTGGTGTTAAGAGTTTTTTTACATTTTATGAAAGTGGTGGAACAGCTGAGGTTGGCTTGACAGAAAGCTCCAGGCAGACAAACTTCTTCCAGGGCTCAGTGTGCCCAAGCACTTGAACCAGGAAAGTCAGCACAGCTCTGTACACTGGAAAAAAAAGGCAACTCATACTCCTACAGCTTTGAGAAAAGCCCTAAGAGAACGCTCCAGGACAAGAATAATTCTACACAAGGAATATTATACAGCCAAATGCTGAATTCACCAGTTAAAGCACCTGAGAGCAGGGAGTTGCACAGCCCAGCACTCAGCAACACCATCCTCACCTGCAGTGTATTTGCTCCCAGTTTGCAGGTCAAGAGGTCACAGGGAACACAGGGAAGTATTTCTCAGCTGGGGCCTGTTCTAAAAATGAGAAAGAAACATAATAAATATCACAACTTCATGCTGCACCCAATTGCCCTCCTGGCAGTCATGCCCTGCAGTGCCCACACGTATCGACCTCAGGAAATGCATCTCACACTGAGCCAAAAAAAGCCAGGAGGAGGAAAATGGTCAACAGCTGAATAAAGGAATTAAAGATAAGCCAGGCTTTTAACTCCAGCCCGAGCTGGCAATGAGGATTCTGAAGGAGAAACCTGCAAAATTCCTGCCTGATTTGACCTTCCCACCCCCCTAGACCCCAGTAAACACAGTCACATTTACCATCCTTCCCAAGCAGCTCATTAAACTACCGGCAAGTACAGAACACATAAATCACGTTGTGATGAACATCAGCCATTTCTGCGCTCTGAGCAGCACATTAACTCAAATTCGCCCTAAAGGTTTTCCGACACAAACTGCACATCAAACACAGCCGGGGGCGTTCAGCGGAGTTAAAGCTTTAAAGAACCGCAATCAGGACGAAGTGGTTTGAGTGAGCTGTGACACACGGCGGTAACTCGCACAGCCCGGGCAGCGCTGCCAGAGCACGGACCCAAAGCCAGAGCCCTCCCTGCAGGGCCCCTCCGTGCCCCGGGCCATTTCCCGGGGGGAGGCACGGTGTCACTGCGGGACGCGGCGATGGAGCGGCCAGAAGAGCACGGCACCCCGAGCCCGTGTGTTTTCCCTGGCTCTGTCTCAGCCCCGGCACCCAGGGCCCCTCACTCCGGGGCCTTGGAGTCCCTCACTCCGGGAGGCAGCACCCTGCTATTCCCAGCTCCTGCGACACCCCATAGCCCGGGAACCCCCGCCCAGCCCCCGGGACTCCCCTCACACCTCTGGCCTCAGCACACCCCATGTTCCGGGGCCTTCAACTTCCCCGTGCCTTGGGAACGCCCCCGCCCGGTTCCGGGCTCTGGCATCCACCCAGCCCGGGCTCCCATCAACCCCAAGGCCCGGAACAGCGCAGCCCCGGGACCGTGGGCTCCCCAGACCCTCTCCGGCCATTCAGGACCCCGCTCACCTCAGCCCCGCTGCCGCCGCCGCCCCGCCCGCCGCGCGCGCGCTTCCGGGGACGGGGCACGGGGGCGTGGTCTGTGGGGGTGTGGGCGTGGTCTGTAGTATGTGGGCGTGGTCTGACGGTTGAGGCCCGGAACAGCGCAGCCCCGGGACCGTGGGCTCCCCAGCCCCTCTCCGGCCCCTCAGGACCCCGCTCACCTCAGCCCCGCCGCCGCCGCCCCGCCCGCCGCGCGCGCGCTTCCGGGGACGGGGCACGGGGGCGTGGTCTGTCAGTTATGGGCGTGGTCTGACGGTTCTGGGCGTGGCCTCGGCGCCGGCCGGGCGCCGTGAGGGGCGCGGGGGTCGCTGCGGCTTTTGGGGGGGTCCGTGCGTGTGTAGGGTTCAGAAACCTCTTTGTGTAGGTCACGAGAGGCTTTTGTGCGGCGTGTGGTGAGTGTTCCTGCGGGTCCTGTGGGTAGGGGCTGAGGGCATTGGGTATAGGGCCTGAAGGAGAGTGTGTGGGGCCTCAGGGGCTTAGACATGCTTGAAGGCCTGTATATAGGGTCTCAGAGGTCCATATATATCTATATATATATATATGTGTGTATGTATGTATGTGTATATATGTATATGAATATATATGTATATATATGTGTGTATACATATATATGTGTATATATATATACATATATATGGGTTCTGTGAGGTCTGTATATAAGGTCTGAGGGTCCCACCTATCTATAGGTAGATAGATAGTCTGAAAGTTCTGTATATAGTATATAGGGTCTCAGAGGCCCAGATACACAGATGGAGGCTCTGTGTATAGGTTCTGACGGGCCCATATATATATTTATAGGTTCTGAGAGGTTTGTTTATAGTGTCTCAGGGGCCCAGATAGACAGGTAGACAGAGGCTCTGAAAGGCCTGTAGATAGGATCTGAGGAACCTATATACATGTATCTATATTTACATATATTCTGAAAGGTCTGTATGTAGAGTCTCAGGGGCCTATCTATAGGGTATCTATATATATATATATTTTTTAATATGTTCTGAAAGGTCTGTGTGTAGAGTCTCAGGGGCCTATCTATAGGGTATCTATATATATATATATTTTTTAATATGTTCTGAAAGGTCTGTGTGTAGAGTCTCAGGGGCCTATCTATAGGGTATCTATATATATATATATTTTTTAATATGTTCTGAAAGGTCTGTGTGTAGAGTCTCAGGGGCCTATCTATAGGGTATCTATATATATATATATTTTTTAATATGTTCTGAAAGGTCTGTGTGTAGAGTCTCAGGGGCCTATCTATAGGGTATCTATATATATATATATTTTTTAATATGTTCTGAAAGGTCTGTGTGTAGAGTCTCAGGGGCCTATCTATGGGGTGTATGTATATATATATATATATATGCTCTGAAAGGTCTGTCTATAGGGTCTCAGGGGCCCATACCTGTAGGTCCTTCAAGGCCTGTATACAGTGTACAAGGAGCATATTTATAGGTCCTGCATGACCTGTCCGTAGGGTCTGAGGGGCTTATGTGCAGGTCCTGAGAGGGTTGTATGCACTGTACAAGGGGTGTCTCTATAGGTCCTGGTTAGCAGGGCTGAAGGGTTTGTCTATAGGGCCTGAAAGACAGCTATATGGGGTCTCAGGGGCTTTTATGTGTCTGTATAATCATAGAATATTAAGGGGTTGGAAGGGATCTTAAAGATCATCTTGTTCTGCCATGGCAGGGACACCTTCCACTGTCCCAGGCTGCTCCCAGCCCTGTCCAGCCTGGCCTTGGGCACTGCCAGGGATCCAGGGGCAGCCACAGCTGCTCTGGGCACCCTGTGCCAGGCCTGCCCACCCTGCCAGGGAGGAATTCCTTCCTTCTCCGGGGTCATGGGGAGGTGTGGCAGCGGCTGTGGCCCTGCCCAGTGGGCCAGGAATGGGATGGCAGCAGGAAGGGAAAGTGAGAGAGGCACGCCTGGGTCATGTGCACCTCGGCATCCAGATGGAGGGAGGACTCGCTGCTGAGGAGGCTAATTTTAGCTATTTTAATTTTAGTGGCTTCCAGATGCCTCTTGGGCTGGCTCTCCTCAGGCTTTAATGTACCCCCCATTAAAAAACACGTTTTCCAGAGGCATAAATAGGCAGTGATTGCTCTTGAGGAATCCAGGAGGCTGCTGAATCCTGACACTGCCCTCCCACAGCGGGAACGCTGCGGGGAGTTTTAGGATGAACCTTTTGGTGAGGCTTAAAGGGATCCCAGAGGCTTAGAGGGGTCTGTGTGGCTGAGGTCTGGCCATCTCCAGATCCCAAAAAGGGGTGGGAGAAGCAGCCAGCAAACCCTGGCATGTTTGGGTAGCTCAGGTCTGAGCTGGGATGAGACAGGGATCGCCATCCTGCCCAGCCCAGGGGAATTTTCCCCTATTTTAGGAATTTATCCTGTTGCTCCATGAGAAGCTGGGCAGTGCTCAGCTTACAGAAGGTGGCCAACACCATTCCTTTATTGGCAAGTAGACTCTGCCCTCCCCCCCATCTCAGGGCTGTGCTGTTTTATCTGCAGTACCCTGGAAGCACCAACCTTTCTTCTAAATAAAAGGAGATAAAAAGCACTTGGACCTGGGATCCTCCTGAATTTCCTCCTCCACCCATGCCTAATGCACCTGCAGGATTTTGCATCAGTCTCCAGGTGCCTGATTCTGCTGTATCACAGCCCTGCACACCTGTAGGGGCAAAATTGGCTAATCCAAAATTTGAATAACACAGAGAAATGGATGAATCTGTAGACTAAAAGATCATTTAGCTTTTATTCTTCCTAGCTGCTTTATTTAATCCAAGCACTTTGGGGCATGGGCAGGTTTTCCAAAGTGGTGCCTTTGCCTATGGCTTATCCCACACTCATTTTCTCTTACATCAGTGCTTTATTTGCAGCAGGGAACAATCCATGCCTCTCTCAGCAGTGTCAGGATGGTTGATGAGGGTTTGAAGCTTAAGTTTTCCACTTTCCCACTGCAATAATATTAATTGCAAACTCTGGTGTGCTTTTCTCCAGCCATTCTTCTCAGGAGCAGCTTTCCAATATTCAGCCAGCTGTAATTATAAGCACCAGGAGAAAGCCTTGTTAAATACATTTTTTTTATTTAGGTTTTCCAAGAGTGGAAGATGCTTCTAGCAGGAGCTATTTGACATGAAATGACAAGGTTTCATTTTGGTGCCAATATCCTCACCCCTCTCTCTCCCTGCACCTTGGGGAGCCGTTCCCTGCTGGCTCGTTTAATTGCCTGGGGTATTGATCCCAGGGCTCACATTTAATTCCCATTTTTGTGCTTTGTAGTGAGTGCCCACACACTCAGCACGGGTTTGCTAATGAAGTTTTGGCCTTTCTGCTGCCCTCAGCCTTTGCTCAAGGCCCACCTTCCCCACCTCTGTCAAATATTCCCTGGAAATGTGTAAACTCTGCCAAAAAACTTCACTTTGGGTCATTCCCAGCTCCTCTTTAACGACAAATAAATATGTAAATACAGAGTATGAATGGCTGGAGGAGTAGGGAACAGGAGAGAGCTGGGGCAGGGTCTGCTTGCTGTGCCCATCCCTCTCCTCCCTTGGAGCTGATCCCTGGAGGGAACCCCACGAGGAGGAGAGCACAGGCTCATCCCAGAGGTGTCTGTGCTCCCCCAGACAAAAATAAGATGTGGGGTGGGCATTTCATGGGGAGAAGAGGTGGCTCTGCCCCCCAGGGGACCTTCCCCATCCTGGCCCTTCCTTCCTGCCCCTTTCCTGCCTTTCTCATCTTTCTTTTCCAGCTCGCCCAGGCTGCATCAAGCACATTTTTGCCGTTTTTAGGATTTTAATCCCACTGTGCTGGGATGCTGGGAGCTGTCCCAGGGAGAGGCTGATGTCGCAGAGAGGGAAACCCTGCCTGTGGCCCACGAGGTGACGCCTTTGCTGAGATGAGTGTGGGAACATCTTCCACTGTGGAGACATCACTGAGGGCTGTGCTACTCAAAATCCTTGTTCTGAAGCATTTTTCCTTTCACCATCAGTTTTCAACATGACAGGAGAGCAAAACACAACAAGCAGGGATCAGGCAAAGGCTCTCTCGGGTCTGAGCAATGAAGCTCAAGAGCAGCTGTTGCTGCAATTTTTCTCCTTGGCTTTCCAAGAAAATGCAAATAATCATTGAAATGCTAAATGTGGGAAGTTGGAAAGACAGTGGGTAAATCCTTCCAGAAGGACACAGATGAGGCTTGAACCTCTTTTCCCAACCAACAAACAGGAAGAAGGGAAAGCTCACCCTGCAGGAAAAATCCAGCCAGAAATGAGGATTGAGGTGGAGCATTCCTCAGGGACAAACTCCAAAATGACATTGCTTGGAGGAAAGCTTAGAACAACCCATCAGGACTTGTGCAAGGCAGCACTGGAGGGAGGTGGGGATGGAAAAAGGAGTGTTGTGATGGTGTGGGTGATGCTGAAGCACATCTGTGTCATCCCATAACTTGGTCGTGCTCCTCTCCGTATTTTTAGAAGCACAGAGGGATTCAGAAGGAGCTGCCATCAGTGTTGTAGTAACTCCCAGGCCAGGGGAAAAAGTCTTTTCTAAGTAATCCAGGCACACCATCTTTGAAGAGAAAGCTGAGCACAGATTGCTTATTTAGCCCGGGTGCTGCGAGGTCTGTGCTGGCAGCCCAAACCACCATGTCTGCAACACATATATATACATACATACATACATATATATATACACATATATACACACATACAGATATGTATGTACATGTATATATATATATGTATATCCAGATATTTTTTGACCACAAACGTTTCTTACCCTTCACTGAAACTGCTCTTGGGTGGGGTGCCAGTCTGACCCAGCGCCCCAAATCCCCGTGCCACCCCTATGCTGCATCCGTTGTGGTATCTTTGCTGCACCCCATCTTCCTGCAGCCTCTGCCTGGTGATCTCCACTTCCCGGGGAGCTCCCCTTCTCCCGGCACCCCCTCCCTAGTGCATCCCACTTCCCTGCACCCCTTTCCCAGTGTTCCCTTATCCCATCCCGGGCTGTTCCCGCTTAGGGGTCTCCCCGCTCCTAGCCCTGCCCATATTTGGCCACGCCCCTTTTGGCCACGCCCCGCGGCGCCCCCGCCAAGGAGTTTCCCTGCCCTCGGGCCCGCGCGTAGCCCCGCCCACCGGCCAATCGCCTCTCTGGGCCGCCCACCCGCTCAACGCCGATTGGCTGCGCCAGCCCCGGGGCCGGCCGGAGGAGCGCAGTGAACGGCGGGCAGAGCGCTGCCGCTCCTCCTCTGCGGCCGCCGCCCCGCCGCGCTCACCGCCGCCGCCGGCCGCTTCCCGGCGCTGGGCCGGCGCCGCCAACAGCAGCAGCAGCGACACCGGACGGTGAGTGAGGCGCCAGTCGTGTGCCCTTCAGAAGGCGGGCGCGGTGCCGGCGGGCGGCGCGGGGGCCCCGGCTTCGCGGCTGCTCCGCGGCGGTTTCGCGGCGGTTCCCGGCTCCGCCAGCTGCGCGGTTATTCTTAGCACCGTCAGCGGGTGAAACTTGAGCGCGGCGGCGGGCGGCGGCAGCGCGCTGGGGGCCGCCGGGAGGGGAGGGGGCGCGGGGGGCGCGGAGCCCCCGCCGGGAGCGGCACCGGCACCGAGCGAGCGGGCGGCCAGCGCCGCTTCTCCGGCTCTGCCTCTGCTCCCTTCTCCTGCCGCCCCCCTCAAGGTCAGCCGCGGGAGGGGCGCTCGGGGGGCTGCCCGCATGCCGGGGGCAAAGCTGGCCGGGCTCTGTTCGCTGCCTTTCCCCTGGCGGCTTTGCCAGGAAAAGAGGGGACTGGCAGCACACGGCTTTCCTGTGTGTCTCAGCGCGGAAAAAAAAACCTGTAAAGGCAGCAGGTTGCGCCTTGGAGCTCGAAAGATTTGCTAAAAATACCGGGAGGGTTTTTTTTCCCTATTTTTTTTCTTTTTAAACTAAGAGAACAGTGTGTAGCCGTGGGTTATCCTTCTGGCTTTTGCCACAGCGTGTTTTAGCGCTGCCTCTAAAGGAGCTTCTGTCGGAGGTGTGCACCTGTCGCTGCCTTGTTTTGCTCCGAACAAGTAAGCACGGGACTCCGGGAGCCGCCAGTCCGTGGATTCCCCGGGTAGGAGCGGGCTCTGAGCTCCGCTGGAGCAGCGGATCCGTCGCTGTGCTCCCTCGGGTGCTGTTTGAGGAGCTGCTTGTGCCGGGTACCGCCGGTTCCGCCGGCGCTGTCGGTGTGTTTTGGCAGCCAGGGGATGCCCCGGGTTCCGTCCGTATCGGGTGTCCCCATCCCGGCGGTCCCGCATTCCCAGAGCGCTCCTTCCCGCGCGTGAAGTGTGATTAACCCCTGCAGGGTTCATCCCGGCACCTGCTCAGGTGTGCAATGGCCTTTCCAGCGTCCGTAATTAATATTTGAGCTGTCTGCTTTCGCGGTGTGGCCCTGGGAAGCAATTTGTATTTATCTAAATTTAAATTGACCTTTGCGATTGATTTAACGGAGCCTCGGATTCGGGCTTGGTTTCACTCCTTGGGCTAAGTGGAGTAGTAAATGTGTGAGAAAATTATTTTAAAAATCATTTAAAAGCCGTGACTCTCCTGTGCTTGCCCAGGATACCGAGCAGACGTGACTGAGGTGTGGGCATGTTACAGTCCTGCTGTCAGAGCTGTCTCCTTCAGGAGCTTGGGGAAGGAGGAGGATTTTGCTCGTGTCCTGGGCACTGATGATTAGAAAGCCCTCCTGGCTTTAGTTGGGCTGAGCTGTTTGATTCTTGGCAGCCTGGCTGTGGTGTTGCAGTCATTGGTTTTTGGGGTTTTTTCAACAGGGAGGCTGTGCGCAGGTCGGTTGGGTTGAATCCCTGAGAACCAAGAGTGGGGATCCAGGATGCTGGCAGTTCCTTCTGGCAGCATCTGTGATGTGCGTGTTTATCCCCTCACAGCAGAGATGGGTTATCCTTTCCCTCACACTGCACTTGAGAAACTCTGTAGACCACTGAATTCTGGAATTAATGATCTGTGAGGAGAAATTTAAGGAACTGGAGCTCTTCATAATAAAGAGGAAATTGAAAGGAAGTGTTGCTGCAAAGGGGAAGCAGAAAACCAGACAAATCCTCGTCAGATGGGAGAAGGAATGGGCTCAGAGTGTGAGCAGAGGGGTTTGGTTAGGCGCTGGCAGACTTTGCTGACAATAAGAGCAGTGGAATGCTGAATTATTTCCAGGGAAGGGTGTTCAGTCTTTGTTATCAGAGGCGGTTAGGACAGGTTAGGCTCACATCAGTCATTTATGGCTGATGAGGAATTGATCCTGCTGTGATGGGCCTGGGATGTACAAACTTCCTGACACCATAGATTAAATTAGGAAAGACGTAGGAAGAGTTTGTATAATATGTGGGTAATTAATTGAGTGGTTACATCAGGTGTGTCTGTGCAGTGTTGTTTTTGGTACCATCAATTCTACTTGGGTATTTCTCAGGATGGCTGGTTTCTCATAGAGGTGATAAATTAAATGGGCTTTCTTTGAAACAGGGTGGAAATGCTAAATGGTCTTATGGATGAGTTCTTTCAAAAGCAATATAAATAATGCTGGAAGAAACTGCACCAGTAGACCAGATTACTGTGAGAGGGCAGAGCTGTAAAACAAACAAAAAAGCTCCTCCAGATGGGTGAAGTACGAAGGAGGAGATTCTGATAACACCAAATGGGAGAGAGGGCGAGGAGGGGAACAAACACTTGGATTATGAGGGAACAGTTGGGAGTACATCACTACTGGGGGACAGAGGGCTCGAGTGAAGCATTCACAGCTTGCTTGAGAGTTCTGAAACACGGGGGAGCTGGGAAAGCACAGTGGGCTCAGCATGGAGATGTTCCCACAGGAGCAATCCCGTAGGGAGAGCACCACCAGTCTGTCCCGAACAGGATCACAAGGGGTGAGAGGTGTGGGGAGGGGGATGCAAGGAACTTGAATGAGAAGTTTGTTCACTGATCTTGGAGTAGGGATAAGAAGAAGGAAGTTTTTACTGATATTTTTAGGTTTTCCCTCTGAGTGTGGTGTTGTTGTGCATTTCAGGATGGCTGGGCAGGGTGAGGAGGCCTGACCATGGAGCAAGTGGGGCTTGGGCCTCCACAGCGTTGGAAGAGTGTGACAGAGCTGAATAAATGAACTTGGAGCAGAAGTATCAGAGGCTGCATCTGTTTCCAGTCGCCCTGTTTGGCTACACACATGTGAGGGTGAAGGAAGCCAAGTTCCCAAATGTGTTTGGAGTGGTGTGATGTGTGGCAGGCCACACGCGCTGGTGGGCAGCTTGTCATAGCTATGAGGGGCCTGGAGAGAGGATTCAGGTGGGCTTTTCCTCAAAGGAAACTTCCTAAGGGAACAAGGGAAGGCCTTTCCTGTCTCCTGCTTGTCCCAGGTGCTGTGGAAGTTGAGGGGCAGCTTCCCAAGGGCTGAGGTGTAGTGGGGCTGGGAAGCAAGCCTGGAAAAGCTTCACAAGCTATAGATGGTTTTCAGTGATGTGGAGGTAGACAAAATACTTAAATGAAACACTCTGCTTTTGTGTGTTGAGCACCTAATCCTCGTGGCTTTGTTCCTGCAGAGATTAGAGTGTCCTGTTCCTGCATTTCCTGGTGTCTGTGGCCAGGGGTTGAGTTATGCTGGATTGGAATGTAATCAGCTGGTGCAAAAATACCTATAGAAAATCAAGGGCTTGGCTGTGTGTGGCATTCCTGTGGTAGCTCATTCTAGCAGCTCTGGGCAAATGAGGAATATTGACTCCTAGTGCCTTCTTCTAAGCCTAAGAAGGAAAAACTGAACCCATCTGAGCTGCAGTCGGATTTTGAGAAGGTATTGGACAACCTGCAGGTTTTCTTTCTGCTCCTGATGAGAACCAGGGTTACCTGTGCTGATCCACCCTCCAAGCCAGGTAGGATTTTTGGTGCAGGTGGCCCAGGTTTGAGGATGTAGTGGAGACTCTATCCTGCAAAGATCTTGCTCTTGTGCCAAGAGGAGATGGGATAAGCCCCAGGAGGAGGATGCAGGGGACATCCTGCTGCAGCTGTCCTTTAGTCACCATAGATACAATGTGTATTTAGTGGGTTTTTTTTTCCTCTGCAGCATTGACTTCCAGAGAAGCTGTAGCTCAGTAGTGTGGTCATAATTTCCTGTGGGACCACCTCAAGTCCTGAGGGCAAAACATGAGGAGCCTTTGCTTCTTTTTTGCTGGGGTCAGGATTAAATGTGTGAGATGGTATTTCTTGTTGGGACCCAGATATTTATTAGTTCTTATCTATATTATAGTCTCACAAAGCCTGGGTTCTGCAGCACTTTAACAAACTAAAAATGGAGCCCCATCTCTCTCTGTGCAAGGCTTTTTAAGGATAAACTGTCCAATTAAGAAATGAAACCTAAATTATTTTCACTTTTAACCCAATAACCAACCACCCCTGGCTGCAGTGTGGACTTTTTTATCCAATTACACAAAACCACCCAAACCAGAGAAGAAGGTGAAGAAGAAGAATCAGCCATGGCCCTAAAACCTCCACCTTGTTTATATCTATTACTATATAATAAACCCTTAAACTCTAAGTTTTCCACCCTGTGATATTACCCACTTCTATCCAAACTCCACACCCACAATCCCAGTTCTGTCATTCCATTTTGGAAGCCTTCTCCATGGCCTCAGGTCAATGCAGTGTTCTCTTGGGGTCTGTGCCTGTCAGCACAGAAAGTCCAAAATTCTCAGCAGCCACGGTTCCAACACCTCTCTGTCACAAATGCTGCAGTTTATTGTCCCATTGTTGCCTGGCCCTTGAAGCAAATTGTCAGGGGAAGTTCAGGCAGTGGCAGGGATGGTGGGACTTGGAAGACTCTGAGGTGTGTTTTTGCTGAGGATGGAAGCTGGCAGACTTATTTAATTAACTGTACTGCTGTTTTCCTGACCT